AATCGTATCTCTTTGCGCTTGAAATTTAAGCGTGGCATTTGAGTTAATCTTGTCCAAAGCTCTGTATGGATTGAGAGTATTTTCATAGTTACATGTGTGGTTTATATATTTGTGATTTTTTTTTTCTTTTGCACTTTGGAAAGAACATAATTATAGGAAAAAAATACCATTAGTAGTACCTAATTAACATCCAGGAGACAGCATGACATTTAGAGAATTTAATAAATAATAAAAATGTAGTGAGATTAATATCAATCCTGGCGACCTCATATTGTAGGTTAGGCTTATTATTCCTCTATCCCAGAACTTCATTCCTTCCTTATCCGTGGAGACACTCAGTGCAGTGATTCTTCCTTGAAGAACACAAGTTCCAGTGAAATCAAAATCAAGCAATCGTTAGAAGTCAAGTGTAAGAATATTTTGGCTATTTAAAGCCACCAGGAAGTTTAGCTTTATCCAAAAGTTACTTAGCTATGGTGTCTCTCACCTTTTAGCTTATGGTATTCAAACACTTTCAAAAGAGGCTCCATCTCAGCAGCAGTTCTCTCGAGCCAAAGCATGGATTTAGGAACACAGACTTTGATGGGAAAATCCAGTTTTTGTGTGTATGCCTGCCATGCTTTCAGGACTTACTGTGTTGTGTCAAATGAGTATGAGGTCAAATGAGCATTGTGTCAAATGAGCTGAAATTTGCAGCTCTTGGGTCGGTGGGGGCAGACAGGGCTGCTGCTCGCTGAGTGCGCCCCACAGGAGCGCTGAGAGGGAAGGGAGCTTGGGCTTTGCTTCAGTTCCCTGTTACTCCTATTTCTTTTCAGCGCCGCGCATTAGAAGGGAGAGAAAGCGAGTGGGTGTTATAATAACACGTAGGCTTCGAGACAGGCAGTTCTGAAAGTGACTTAAACAAACCCATTGAGATCATTTTGTCATGACACTGCCTGCTCTGCGAGCAGAACGCGAAGGAAGAGCAGATGTGTGCGCTCGTGCGCTCGCCGGCTCGCCGCGCTGCCGCCGCTCCGCTCTTCTGCTCCCTTTCCTCCACGTACAGCAAAGAGCAGCGGAGAAGTTCTAGTCGAGCAAAGTCCTGCGGGGCAGCGCCAGGTAGTCTTGTCGTGGTTTAAGTGGAGAATTCCTAGGGAAGAAGCAGAATTGGAAGCAAAGTAGCGCTGAGAGAAGAGCGGAAGGAAGCAAACACGGGAGAGTGAGGCAGGAAAGCCGAGAGATGCTCTGTGCGCAGTGAGGTGTGGAGCCCAGCGGCCGTGTTACCTGTGTTCTTGGACCAGGCAGCTTAATCCTGTCTGATGTATAAAGTTTATGAAAAAAAAAAGACTTTGGAGACATCTGATTGAAATGACAGCGTTTAACTAAGAAGAGTTCCCCAGCGAAGAGAAGGAGGGCTTCGTGCAGAAGCTTTACTAGCCAGAGAGGGAAAGGGCTTTGTGAGAGCACAGGGAAGTGAGCAGAGTGTGTAAAGGAATGGCAGAAAGAGTGAGAAATAGTCCCTTTTTTTATTCTTTTTTCCATAGCAGGCTGTTCCCCGTGCTTGTGGTCAGCTTGCTGAGGTGGGTGGAAGCTGGTAGCTTGCCATGGTTAACCATGGATAACCTGGCTGGCAGGTTCTCCCCCTCGTGCAGGCTGGACGCTGTCACTGCTCTGCGACTGGTGTTTTCTGCCAGTTTTGTTGTTACCTCTGGAAATTACCTGTTGTTACCTCTGGTACCTCTGTTACCCTGGATCCCTTTGCAGTCAGGTAGCTGTAAATTCACAAACATGAACTGGAATATCTTCAACAGAAATTGGAAGTTAAAGAAGAGCATTTATACGAAAGGAATAAAAAGCTGGAAGTAAGCAAAAAGAAGTTGTTGAATATTCCTTTTTTTTCCTCCTAAAAGTCTGGAGATTTTTGAATATTCCCAGGGGAATATTTCCATTAGTATTATGTATGGGCCTCCTGCTCTTGCTGAGCCTTGTGAAGCTGTTGTTGAGAAAGTCCATTTTTGCAGGATTTTATAGCCCGATTCACTGATGCGCCGCCAAGACTCATCTCTCAAATCACTGGAGATGGAGGCAGTAGAGCCAAAAGACAAATAAGAGCTTTCTTATGCAGAAGCAACACAATCAGTGATTGTAAATGCCCACTTTTGAATGTTATCTAATATATAACTTCCCTTCATTCTTTTTTTTTTCTTTTCAAACAATTTCTTAAAAACCTTCATGGTTTCGCATGTGTTGGACTACAAAAGTAAGTAGCTTACCAAAAAAAATAGATCTTCTTTTCACAACAAATTTAAAATCTTAGTCACTTCTTTTGTAGGTTACAGCCACCTCTATGCTTTGTTTAAGGCTTTCTCAGGCTGCATGGAGTCTTTGAGCACTGCTGGTTTCCAGCTTCCCGGTGTGGTTCAGTGGGAGCGCGGCTGCGGCTCCGCTCGGGATCCTGCAGCGCGGGAACGGCCGCTCCTGAGTAAGCTGAGACCTGGGGTGGGAGGCGATCATTTTGCTCAGTGCCCTGATGTCTTTGAGGCTTCTTGTGTGCGTGGGCTCCCTTGGACGTTCCCAGTTCACATCCCGTATTTCCGAGCTGCGTCCGTGTTGCACAGGCGCTCCCAGCTCCGTGGCTGAGTGCAAGGAGCCCGGCCCATCCCGCAGGGAACTGTGTTGCTCACCCCCTGTTAACGTGGCCCTCCCCCTGTGGGGTGGCCACGCCGGGGCTAAAAGCACCTTTGTGTGCAGTTACCTGGTCATTTTTCTGTGATTCACGTGAAATTATTGTAACTGAGCGGGTGGTAGACTCTGCAGCTTAACAAAACTACCATCATTAATATCCGTGGTCATCTGTTAGAGTAAGATACTTGTTGCAAAGCAACGGAAGCTGAAAAGCATCATGATGCTTTGCGTGTGATGAATACTTTGAATATGCTAAATCCAGCCTAATATGAATAGGGTTTCGTGATAAAGCAGTACGTGCAAAGGTCACTTAAAGGTTAAATGAACGATTGCTGCCTGGATTTCTTTCCGAGTGCACAGGGTGAAGAGGAGCTCCCCACAGTTGGGATACAAAGCCTCGAATTCTGGAGATGTATTTGAGAGGCGACGCATCTTCTATGAGGCTGCAGAGTGTGACAAAACAGCATCCTGCTCCTCACAGCTGAATTTCCTCTAGAGAGGCAGTGAGAAAGACAGGCTGTGTCAGGCTCCGCACAATGCAAACTTCCATAGGTGCAGGCACATTATGTGTTAGGCAGTGTTAATCTTCCTGAAAGGGAATCTGTAGCATATCTCTTTGCCCTGAATGACTACTATACGTGTAGCAAGTTGACTTCCAGTCTGATGCAAGGTTTTGAACTTCCAGGTGCCCAAATTTCGTCCTTAGCACCCGTTCCAGTCAAGTTATGATCTGGCACGGGGCGAACACTCACCATTTTTCTGCCTTTCTTCTACTGGGCACTTTGCATCCTCTTCTGCTACATTAGTAGCAGGCATTGCCTGGATTTCCTTTAAATGGAGCAGGAATTTCAGCCTGGGTTCATGAGCTCCTGTGTCTCCTCAGATGCAGGTGCACATTACCTGTCCTCCCGGTGCAGTGTGGAAGCCAGCTGGGGTTTCTGCAAAGGGATGCTCTTCATGGCCACTGTAAAGGGGCTGCAGAATTGATCTGTACAAGGGAATTCATGTTTTCTCCCCCGTGTGAACGCTGACAATACGTTGTCCTAAGGTTTGCATTTATATAGGGTTGCACAAAAACTCCTGGGCTACGTGGAGTTCCTCGATACTGCTTCTCAAAACGCACGTGCGGCTGAATCTTCTCAGCCAAGCATGGGACCTTCTGGGCACGTCATAACCCTGCTTTGCTCTGAACAGGGGCACTCGGATGAGCCTGGTCTTTGGCTGGCAGCCAAAGGAATGAGTTGTTAAAGTAAAGTTTGAGGTGGATTTACATTCGTTTAATACTCGGCTTCCGCTGCCGTCGCTCCCACAGAGACGGTGGCAATGACTGTCTAGGTGTTTGCGCGCTAGGAGCGAGGTGAAATACACATAGCAGATTAAACAGGACACTGTGGAGGTGAATGGAGGGGTGTAACACCAAGTGTCAAAATATATTTAAAAAAAAAAAAAAAAAAGTAAATATCCAAACTGAGCTCCAGGCTATAGGGCTTTCTTGTTCTGGAGGAAATTGGACTCTGTGCAAAGCAATGTATGTACTTGCTACACGATTATTCTGCTGGATAGCAGAGCAATTCCTTTGCTATTCACCATATCCCTGAAGCTCCCTATGCATACCTACTTAAAATGAGCAACAAGTGTAGCTAGTAATGAAATAATTCAAATTTGGTTTATTTTGTTTCTTGATGCACAAATAGAAAACCATTTAGCTGTGACTGATTCTATTCATCTGCAGTAGCTGCTCATCTGAAATGCTCCTGAAGTTCAGTAATTGGAGCTCTGAAACTCCGTATTTGACAGATGGTGTGGGTGGTTTGTGCCATTTCCATGATAAATCCACTTACAGATACAACCATGAGGAAGTTGTCTTCTTTCCTTGACTACTGCAACACAGAGATGGAAGAAGTGACAAACATGACATGAAAATGGATGTGTGTCTTGGTTCTTCATTTGCCTGCTGTAATGATTTGAATTTTTAAACAAGTGCAAAAGAGATTTATTTTTACTGAAAAGGAGTTTCTATAAATACTAAAATACTTTTCAAATAGCCTTTATTTGAAAAAAAACCCACTTTTTGCAGCTTTTCCTATAGTAAATTACTTCACTAATGTTTTACAGCATACATTGGAAAGCATTACTCTTTTTAGATGAAAGTAAAATGGATCCTGAGGAAGATGCATTACTATTGAAATGTCAGGGGCTGAGAGATGGGCAGTTTTGTTGCCCCAGGGCTTACTGCATGAGCTACCCTTAGAGTTGAACCTAAGAGGTGATAGAATAGTAAAAATAAAATGCATTATCCAGTTCTAATAATTTTTGTTGCCTTTATGTTTAAACAGAAATCGCAGATGCTGGCACTAGAGGAACCTCAGATGCAATTAAGGGCGTGAAGAGGAAAAAGATTGTAACCGAAAACCACCTAAAAAAAATACCCAAATCGCCCTTGCGAAGCCCCGCTGAAGCCAAGATCAAACAAAACACAGAGCCTTCCCCCTCGAAAGCCCTTCCAGAAGCCTCGGAGGCCGGCAAGGCGCAGAGCGCCCTACCTGTGCAGAATGGGAGCCGGTGCAGCAAGCACAACGGGGCAGCGCCCGGCCAGGAGGCCAGCGCCGAAGCAGCCGTGCCGGAGCCGCCCGGGCAGGCGAAGCTCTCGCTGGGGCCTCCCTCCTCCTCGGAGCTCAGCAAACAGACAGGGGCGGATTCGGATGCAAAGCGGCTGAACTCGCCGGAGAAGAAGGCCAACTCCTTACCAAACAAAGCAAAGACTGACAGTGATGAATGTATTCCTTTTGATGCTGGCTGTGCTGCGGCCCCGTGCGCGCGCACGGCCTTCGACGTGTTGCTGAAGGCCATGGAGCCGGAGCTGAACACCTTGGCACAGGAGTGCCCCCCTTACGGGGTGCAGGTAGAGAAATTGAGACCAAATAGGACTGTAAGCACCTCTTCCAGTCTCACCTCCAATGCGACGAGTGTCCAGAATGCCTCTGTTTTGTCACAGCGTGAGTTGTCGGCTGGATCACACTATTACCCATGTGCTTTAAACAGTGTTCATGTAGCAACAGCAGCTAAGAGCGGGCAAGCACAGATCCAATCCATTTCTCATTCACAAGACCTCATTACGAAGACCAGTCAACAGAATCACCAGGTTGTCGTGTGTCCAAGTTTCACCAGGTCGCTGGTGCAACAGCAGAGCCAAGAAAGCCCCAAACTGCAGCAGATCTACAGTATAGCAGTGACCTCTTCCGTCGTTCACACCTCATCTTCCACAGTAACTCAGGTTTTTCCCCAAAGCCAGTTAGTAGCTAACTCATCTTCACCTTTGCCAATTAACACGTCCAGTTCCACACACTTGTCAATAGGTCCCATCTACAGCTCGGCCCAGATAGCGTCAGTTGTAAATCACGGTGTAGAGCAAATATGTAATCTCCTGAAAGACCAGAAGCCCAAGAAACTGGGGAAATATGTGTGTGAGTACTGCAATCGGGCCTGTGCCAAGCCCAGCGTGCTCCAGAAGCATATCCGATCTCATACCGGCGAGCGACCTTATCCTTGTGTGACCTGTGGGTTTTCCTTTAAAACCAAAAGCAATCTGTACAAGCACAAGAAATCTCACGCGCATGCTATCAAACTTGGGCTTGTCCTACAGCCGGATTCGGGTGGTCTCTTCTTATCTCATGACTCAGACAAAGCTCTTAGTATCCACTCAGATGTGGAAGACAGTGGTGAAAGTGAAGATGAAGGCACTGCTGATGAAAGACAGGATGAACAAGAACTGGAGCCTCCACAAATAGCAAAAGTAATTTCAGGTTCAGAAACTTTACGGAAAGGAAGCCCGGTTCCACCGAGCAACCCAGACCCTGCAGCAGGTGATGCCTCAGTATGTGATACGGACCCACAAGTAAGGGCAGCTTTACCAAAAGTAGTAGTTCATCCTGTTAATGTCTCTCCTTTAAGGGCTGATAGTCCGAAAGTCACAGATCCCGCAGCTGAGCTTGCAGCACAGAAGAAAGGGGAGTTTAAAGTGGCAAATCTTCAGTCAAATGTAGCACACACCGCCGCCTTCAAGGAGGCTGACGTAAAGCAGCAGAAGGTAGAAGCGGGTCTATCAGAGGAACAACTGGGGTCTGCAGTAGGAGCTGTGCACGCTCAGCTCCAGAGACAGCAGGCAACTGATTGCTCCCAGGATCAGCAAGGAAAATGCCTTTTGAGCCCTAGGAGTTTGGGTAGTACTGATTCCGGATATTTCTCTCGTTCGGAGAGCGCTGATCAAACCATGAGCCCGCCGGCTCCTCTGGTAAGGGCATTGCCCACCTCTGAAAAAGATGCAAACAAAAATCTGCCCTGCGTGCCCCGAGCGAGTGGAATGGTTGCCTCTGTGGTTCAGACAGTCTGTGCCGACAAAACTTTGATGCTGTCTGGCCAAATGCGACCACCCATGGCGACAAAAACCCTCGAGGAGCGAATCTCAAAGCTCATTTCTGATAACGAAGCCGTTGTGGATGACAAGCAGCTAGATAGCGTGAAACCAAGAAGAACATCCCTTTCCAGGAGAGGAAGCATAGATTCACCCAAATCCTACATATTTAAGGATTCCTTCCAGTTTGACTTAAAGCCCATGGGAAGAAGGACGAGTTCAAGCTCGGATATACCAAAGTCCCCTTTCACACCCACAGAGAAATCCAAGCAGGTTTTTCTTCTGTCTGTACCGTCCCTTGACTGTTTGCCTATCACCAGAAGTAATTCCATGCCCACTACGAGTTACTCGGCCGTACCTCCCAACGTAATACCTCCCCCTCATCCTCTTCGAGGAAGTCAGTCGTTCGATGACAAAATTGGCTCTTTGTATGATGATGTCTTTGTATCAGGACCTGCTACTCCGCTGAACCAAGGTGGGCATCCTCGGACCCTTGTCCGCCAGGCGGCAATAGAAGATTCTTCTACCGGGGAAAGTCAGGCTCTTGGATCAGTTCGTAATCTTTCTTCCACCGAAGAAAATTATCTTGGATGTAATTTATCAAGTGAATCATTGCTGCAAAGGAGCAAGTCGCTGGCGCAAGGAGCAAATTTAGAAAAGGCAAAGAAGTCGCCCCAAGTGCGGGGAACAATGTTTGAGTGTGAAACCTGCAGGAACAGATACAGAAAACTGGAAAATTTTGAAAACCACAAGAAGTTTTATTGTTCGGAATTGCACGGACCTAAAACCAAGGCGGCAATCCGCGAGCCCGAGCATAAGGCTGTTCCCAACAGCACACAGCCTCAAATTCTGCACTACCGTGTCACTGGTTCGACCGGTGTCTGGGAACAGACGCCGCAGATAAGGAAAAGAAGGAAAATGAAAAGCGTTGGAGATGACGATGACCCACAGCAAAATGATATGAATATGTCATCAAAGAATGCAGACAGCCAAAGTAAGGCCTCCAATGCTTCCAGTCTGTCCAAACACAGTGCAGCAGTAGTAGGTTCACAGCAGCAAAGCAACGTTGCTCTTCAAAGTTCACAAATTCAGCTTGTGGCACGAGGCACGGATCAGACGACGGAGCCAAAGATGGCCCCTCTTCTTGAAAAGCAGGCGAGCTCAGTTGCGCAAGAAAAAGTGGAGCTGAAGAGGCAAGGGACTGGCATTTCGGTCATACAGCACACAAATTCCCTGAGCCGAAACAGCTCCTTTGAGAAATCGGAGTCTTTTGAAAGGGTGTCCCCAGTTTCTTTTCAAGAGCCCAACAAAGTGGCCAAGCACTGCTCTTTGAATGCAATTGCAAGCCAAGAGGATAGGCACTGTCACCTGAGTACTTCCCAGCATCACCAGGCGCTGTCTTCGGAAGGCCCTCGGGGGGAAGCGCGGGGCGGGCGGGGGGTTTCTCACGAGAGAAGTGCCCCGCTGCAGCCCTCAAGGCTTGTTCGCCAACATAACATCCAGGTTCCTGAGATACTCGTCACGGAGGAACCAGACAGGGACCAAGAAAACCAGTGCAGCGACCAGGAAAAGGCGGAGAGATTTAACTGGCCACAGCGTAGTGAAACCCTGTCCAAATTGCCCACGGAGAAGCTCCCACCAAAGAAGAAGAGAATTCGCCTGGCTGAAATGGAGCATTCGTCTGCCGAGTCGAGCGTTGACTCCACGCTCTCCAGGAGCCTAAGCCGGGAGAGCAGTTTGTCCCATGCCTCCAGCTTTTCAGCTTCGCTGGATAAAGATGAAATTTCCAAGGCTGAGAATCCTTCCAAAATAGAGCTCCTTAGTAAGTCAACGGAATTTCTTATGATTCCTGCTGGCTCTAATGTGCTAGGAGTGCCAGGTCCTCATTACAGGGAAATGAGACGTGCTGCCTCCGAGCAAATCAGCTGCACGCAGCCATCAATGGAGGTGGTGGACTACAGGAGTAAGTCTTTTGACTGTGGAAGCGTGTCCCCACCGACACCTGCCTCGCTTGTAGAGGCAGCCGCTCCAAAACTGTCCTCTGGAAATGGTGCTACTGGACACGTGCCTCTGCTAGAAAGGAGGAGGGGACCATTTGTAAGACAAATATCTTTAAATATTGCTCCAGAAAATCATCAGCCTCAAGTTAAATCCTCTTCCCTTCCGGCGGCTCAGGCTGCGGAGGCGCCCGCGGTGCCGTTCCGTAGGCTGCAGAGCTCGGGCAAGTCGGCCAGGGAGTTTCCTTCCAGCCCTCAGCATTCACAGGCTCCCCCCAGGCCTCACGCTGCAGGTCCGAATTGCAACCCTGTTAGCCTGCCTTCCGCTCAGCAGCCTCCAGACCCTGTCTTGAGTGGTCTGGGGCAGCCCCCCTTGCATGAGCCTTCCCAGGCGCCTACCAAAACCTCAGCCCAAGGGGAACAAGCACATACGTACCCGCTTTCGTGTCACCCCGCTGAAAGAAAGGACTGCTTTGCACCGAAGTATCAGCTTCAAGTTAAAACCTTGCACATAGGTCAGCCATTCACTTCCAAGCTGCTAAAAAATACTTTAGCAACGCAGACCGTTCCGTGCCAGGCTGGGGCGGACCAGGATGCTTCTCCCTTTGAAATGCAGGCTAAGTTGCCCGATAATACGTCCAATCCGTATTCCGTGCCTCCCCTAAAACAGATTATCCCCAACAACTGCAGCAGCCAGATGCATCAAATTGCTCCTTTTGTGGTTCCTGTCCGAATCCATAGCAGCGTGCCCTCCTACGGCTTCGCCACTGTTACACCCCTGCCTCACATTTTAGTGACCCAGGAGCAGGTAACTCCATCTGTATGTAAATCGAACGCTGTGTCGGTGCCAACGCTTGAAGGTAAAACTCAGCTGCCAAAACCTCACAAAGACTGTCCGAGGACTTTGCCAAATTCTTTTGAATTTGAAAACTCGCTACCTGATAACGGAACCAGAAATTCGCCCTTGTCTGGCTCTTTGAATATTATTCAGAAAGTGCCAGTAAGCGGTCTCTTCCCTCAGCAGGAAGCGACAGCTTCAAGCAAGCGGATGCTTTCCCCGGCCAACAGTTTAGATATTGCCATGGAAAAACAGCAAAAACGGGTTAAGGACGAGAGCGGAGCTGCCTGCATGACAGATGCTAGACCCTTGCACTGCCTGAGCCTTCGGTCTGGTGACCCCCCTAGTAAGCAAAAGAAGCCAGTTTTGGTGAGGCAGGTGTGCACCACGGAGCCGCTGGAGGGTCACCTCTTGGATGCCGATGGTGTTCCACAGCCGGAAAAAAGCGGCAAAGCTGGTGCTGCAGAGGCGCTGCTGCCCGAGGGCCTGTCGGAAACGGGCCTCTCGGAAGGCCTGAAGGAGCCCCCAGAGCCAGGCGACCTTACGTTGTCGGCATCCGCAGCGCTTGTCCTTAGGAAAGCATCGGAATCGTCTCCAGGGAACAAGCAGAGCTCCCTCCCAAAGCCTCTCAGTGGCGGCCAAGAAGGAAGGTCTCCGAGTGCTGGTAACGAGAGCCAGGCGAGCGGCGGCCAGGGTGCAGCCAAGGCCGTGGCCACGTTGTCCGCGGGGGAGCTGCAGCGGTTGTCCTTCCCAAGCCTCAAGACCTCCACGAATTTCACCTGGTGTTACCTCACGAAGAGAAAACCGTTGCATCTGCTGCAGAACGACCAGAAGATTTCAGCCTATTCCGCGTGGACCATTAGCCCCAGCAATCCCAACCCCCTGGGTTTGCCCACAAAGGTGGCCCTCTCCCTCCTCGATTCCAAGCAGAAGGTTGAGAAGCTGCTCTACACCCAAGCCCGAGCCACCCACCCCAGATCCGATATACTGGTCTATTCAAGCAAGTGGAAGAACAGCTTAACCAAGGTATTTAACCTATGCTTGATGCATATTGATCAGTTACAGAGAATGTATGTTAGAAAACTTACCTGCTTCTGTTTCCAAGAATGTAATGTGCATATTTTGTTTCTCTTCCTGATTTTAAATAACGACATGTACAATATATCTACTTACTTATTCTAGTTATGCTGGCTTGAACTACTGAAAAGATCTTAATTGCATCAAGAAACCTGTTAAAAAAGATTTATTCACAGAAATTAGTTCCTGGATTTAAATCTGTGTGTGAAATCTTTGTTTTGGAAGGAATGCATTTGGCTATTTTTTAATGTATTTTTTTTATATGTAAAAAAGATATAGCAAAGATAGTTCCAGGATAAACATGTTTTAAATACTGTTAAGTTAAAAGAGGTTAATTGAAAATCATAGCTGTATATTTTGCCTTCAAAATCAGCTGGTGTTTTCTGTTACGAGACAGCTCTCAGGCTGAATTAGGTGTCCATGGAGACACCACAGAAATATTTTTCAACACTGCTGATCATCCAACTCAGGGAGGAGTAGTGGCCAATTTCCCACCTCTCACACCAATCAGTGGTTTAAAATAACGACAGAAATAGTAAAATTTACAACAAAATTGCCACTTTTGTAAAAGCACTCCTGGTTTCCTGCATTAATACTGCTCCAAATAGGCCATTGCAGTATTTTGCGGTGCAGTGTGCTCAGGGCAATAATACTCCACATAATACCCCAGGGTCAGAGGAGGAAAAGCAGGCTCGTTGCTTGGTACTTGCTCAGGTGTCTTAGTGCTGCCCCGTGGTGATCGGGGCTTTGTTTTCTGTGCAGGACCCACCTTGAGTGCTGCTTGGCACTGGGTTGCTGTTCCTGACTAGCGGATAGGGCTCTGTGAAGGGCTAAATGTGCCTCTCTGCTCTGTAACACGGCGACGAGTGTCAGTGCGCGTCCATTTAGTGCATTCAGTGCTTGCTTTTGTTGTCACAGCTAATGCCTTCTGAAAAGAGCTGCGAGGGACGTGGTTGTCTCGAGCTCTTCCGTCTTCTTAGTCCTGTATGCAGTGTGCTCTTCACCATGCTTTTCTTGTGCTCTTTTTTGGCAAAAGCTGAGCCTTGAAACCAGTTCCTGTAGAATCATCAAGAGGTTCTCCAGAACGTGCAATTTTTTTGCTCGTTTAGAAAGCTCATCAGCGTGTCCTGCTGCAGTCTGCCAGCAGCCTGGCCTTGTGGGCATCTGGATTTGGATCAGTGGGGCCTCCAGTTGCTCTTCAGGAAACGTGCCACTGCCTTGGGAAGAGAAGTGCATCTCTCTGGATGCTCCGTGGCGTAGGCTGTTACTGTCAGAGGTCCTCATGGGAGATTTCTGTGTTTGCTAAATGTTTTGCTAAGATATCAAGTCAGTGGGGAAAAGAGCAATAAGATGAGAAGCTCTGCGTAAGAGGGAAGAAATAGTTTCAGAATTACAGTGGGAGTTGAGAAGATATTCTGAAAGCCCTAAGGACTATTAGAGTTAAATCTAGTTCTCTGGAGGTCAGTGGGCGATTTTGCTTTTTGGAGCTGAAAATGTAATCCCTATTTTTTTTGTATTGAAAATGCATGTAGACCGCTGACGTTGTGTCAGTGCTCTGACTGACGTGCATTTTAGTTCCGTATTTGTCACCTCCTTTTACGTGTTCAGACTCCTATGACACTCATTGCATTCTTCAACTTGCTTCCTCATATATTTTATACGGTGCACTTAGATAATGCTCAATGTAAAAAATAGGGAGAAGATTGCTTTTTTCGTTTAGAATTTCTTTGCACATTATTGAGCAATTCTTTATGGGAGAAGCAGGGCTCACAGTACTAGTGACATCGGCTTGTGTTTATTTTATATTTAGGGACTGTCTGTCAGAAGTTCTGCAACAGTAAAGTTACTGCATGCCTGAGGAAGAACAGTTCTTGTCTACAAACAGGTTTTGTTTAGAATATAAATAATGGATAACAATATCCCGAAAAATATTTTGACATGCTATAGGAGTATTTAGTGTCGTAATAGGCAGCTGTCATGTACATTTACACTGCTGCTTCTGTAAAGGAAGTGCAGTTATTAATCTTTCTTCAGTTTTTCTTGCTGACATTCGAATGAGCACATGATGTGGCGGAAAGGAAAAGCTCTCCTTGGGAGTGATTTCCCAGCTTTACTTAGGGCCATTACGAAGGAAGGATGTACAGCAAGAAATCACCAATTAAAACTGAACTGGTATCTTGTATAAGCAAAGTTTAGCGTGACAGAAATTAAAGCTTGAGACGGTCTGATAGCTACCTGACACCTCCAGAGTTTGTCTAGTTTCTCTTCCAGTGGCTCGGGCAGCGAGATTCCAGCCGCTTTCCAGGATGAGGAGAATGCTCTTACAATATATACCTGTGTATCACCAGCCTCCAGCTAGACCTGGTAATGGCACAGCTCATGCCGGCCTGGAAACTTTTAGTTAGTCTTGTTGCAGGATCCATGGTTAGTGGAAACAAACCCAGAAATCCTTCCTTCTGCCCCTGCCCGCTAATTCTCCTCCTGGGTTTTCACGGTTGAGCTTGAGGGTGGAACCAGAACATTGGAGGTCCTCGTGGAAACTCATATTCCATTTTTACAAAAACAAACAGATTAGCAAAGTAATTCTCTGTTACCGCCAAAAGAAATGTGATTGATTTCCTGCTTAAAAGCTTGGCGGGGTCCTGAATTCCTTAAAGAACCACAGTTTATATTGTAAATCTCAGGGGGTTGTGACTGCCATTCAGGCGATGTTTGTTCAAGTGGTTTGCACATTTTAACCCTGACCTGACAGAGAGCTTGAAGTACTATTATGGTGCAATTTATTATTAATAATAAAAATGCGATGCTTTAATCCCTCCCATCTTCTCCTTTAGGCGTAGCCTTTTCCAGAAGGGAGTGCTGTGTCAGTGGGGCTTTAACTGCTGATCTTCTCACAAAGATGAAGTGACTTCCTGAACTGTTCCTGGTCTTGCCCCTAGGACTAAGTCACGTTTGCAGAGAGCTCATGTTCCCACATAACCACCACTAATCACTGTCATGAAAGAAAAAACCCCACAGTTCTTTAAACAATAGATGTCATGGGAAATGGATAGGCACGTGAGCAAAATGGGAACAGGAGGGAAACCCCAGACTGTGTTTGCTCTTCATGATTCAGTGTTCAGAGGCAATCCAATAGGTGCAGCAGCCACATCCCAGTGATTCAACCCCCCCCCCCTCCAAATGGCATTATGAAGGGTGCTCCCGGAGTAAATACAGCATATTACAATGTAATTTGAGGTTCACTTGCATACAAGAGGCTTGTTTTCTCTCTCCACTCATTTTCTATTCATTTATTTATTTATTTTGCCAGACCCTCCCCTGAAATCCTCAGTGCTGTATCGGGAGCTCTTTCTCAAGCCCCTGCACTGATCCTTGGCTCCTCCTGTGAGATGGGCTGGCAACGTTCAGCCTGCTCCAGTGTGAAGGCTTTTCAGGAGTGGATAGGCTGGGAACGGAAACTTTCTCCTAACTGGAAACCTTTCCTTGCCTGGCTTTTGTGCCACAGCACTCCAGCTCACCCCTGGAAAGTAGTTAAGTGCAGAGGATTTTTATGTGTAAAATAGTAAAACTTGAAAAAATTAAAAACATTTTCCCTAAGTAGCTGTGTGCCAGTGGGAAAAATGTTTAATGAATATTGTAATCTCAAATTTATAGCTTGGATGATTCAGGCTCTGAGCATTTTTTTTTTCCAAGGGACGCTGTAAAGCACCAGCAGTATCTATTGAACTCTGGTCTCCAGGCAGCCCTAACAGCAGTTTTCTTTCCAGTTTTATACCAGTAATTGAAGACAGTAGAGCTACATTGGAGCAAAGTGAATGAAGTAGAAATGAATCATGATCTTTGTCTCCATGGTAGGAGAATGAGGAGACTCTGTTAGAAATGGAAGACATAAGTAATTGTGGAGAGGAACATTTTTTTTCTGTCATTTTTCTGCCCTTTTCACAATTACGAGTGGTTTAGGTAAGGTCAGTTGGAGGATTTACATGTGAGAAAACTGTACTGCTTAGAGACTGGCTTCAAAAAGTTTATTTTTTTCATTTTCAGGGAGCCCTTCTGTACATTTCTGTGACAGAAGCTTGGATAGTGTTTCAATTAGAACGTTTCTGTGATGGCAGCATTTTGTCTGGTTAAATCACCGAAACAGCTGGTAAAAATAATATACACCTAGTCAATTGAAGTGCATCAGCGAAAAGTAGATATTATCTGAACCCCTTAGACTGCCTTATCCTGGTACATAATTCTATATAAGATACTAAAAACAGAAAGAAGGAAAAATAAGAATTCAGAAAGTCTAGGGGTATTTGGCCTTGTGTTACTTTCTGTACGTTTGGGAATACAAATAGATTATAAAGATAAGTGTCGCCATAGTTCGGGTTGCAGCACAGGCCAAATACATCTGGAATCCTCTCCCCACCCCTTTGTTGTTTTATTATTGAAATTTAAATGTGGAAAAAATACTTAGTGTATTAGGAATGAAAGATCAAGCAGTTAGGGGTAATATTATTCCAAGTACTGGGAATACTTATGTGGTATTGGGCTTACTATGTATACTCTGTATTTTCCACTACTCTTTTCCTTGCTAAATTATAAATGTCATCTTGTTATTCTCCGTTTGCAGTGGAAACAAAAGCAATCTGTTTGCCAAACAGTGTAGAAGGTCTGCAGCCCGGCTGAGTTGCAGTTGCTAGAGCAAGCTCAGCTTCTGAGCAGGCCCTCCTTTCATCTTGTTTGGATACTGCACAACCTGCAGGGAGAAATTCCTTCCTTCCTCCCCACAGGCCAAATTGTCATGTATGCTGCAGTAGAAGCGCTCAGGCACTTGAACATCCAGCCCAAACCCATCACAGGGCTGCGTGAAAGAGCATGGACTGGAGCAGAACTTGCAGCCTGTGGGGTCACTTAGGTGGATTCCCAGGGCCTTTGAATCCAGAAGGCCACTTTTCACAGAATCACAGATTATTCAAGGTTGGAAGGGACCTCTAGAGATCATCTAGTCCAACCTTCCCGCTCAAGCAGGCACACCTAGAGCATGGGGCACAGGGCGGCATCCAGACAGGTTTGGAAGACCTCCAGAGTAGGAGACTCCACAACCTCCCCGGGCAGCCTGTTCCACTGCTCTGTCACCCTCACAGTAAAGAAGTTGCTCCTCACCTGCAGACGGAACTTCCTGTGCTCCAGCTTGTGGCCAGTACCCCTCGTCCTGTCGCTGGCCACCAGTGAAAACAGCCCTTCCTCCCTGCATTCTCCTTTCCTGAACTTATACACATGTTAATCAGATCCCCTCTCAGCCTTCTCTTCTCCAGAGAAAACAGGCCCAGCTCACTCAGTCTCTCCTCACATGAGAGATGTTCCTGTGCTCTGAGTTAGCTCCTCAGCCAGGAAGTAAAGGCCGTGGCAGAAGTTCCACGGAGGAGCAGAGGCAAGGACCCAATGCCAGAGTGATGTCACCCTTGGAGGTATATAATGGCCATGTCATTCATCAGGCATTTGAAGTGAGCCAGGGAAGTCGTTCCACTTGCCAGGAATTCTCAAGCTTGCAGCATTAGGTTTTATAATGAGTAGAAAACATAAGGCCGGTCTCATCTCTCTCATGGTTTTTTATTCAGTTATCAATATGAGCAAATGTGGTAAGTATGCCAGCTACGTGGGTAGAGCAGTTTATAAATACAGCAGCAATAATTACTGGCTAATTGGATCGTTCCTTCGTTGTTGCCCGTTTTATAAATATCCTTGACTAGAAGTAGATTTTAATTGGTAAATGTTGGGGGAACTCATCCTCCTGTAAAAAAAAAAATCTTTAATTAATAGTCAGGGGAAATGGAGAAATGTATTTATGTTCTGCTAGACAACTGGTACCCTTTTGTTCTAATTTGGGCTAGCAGTAAGAATTAACTGCGGAGTGCTACCCAGAAAGGGGTCTTCAGTCCCTGGTAATGACATCACAAAGCTGAGAGCAGGCAATTTGTGCACTAAAACAGGAACACTCTTTGGAAAGATACTTGGAACCATAAATATGACCTGTAAGTACCTTCTCTTTGCAGTCACCTCCTTTCTGGCCTCTTGCCCTTGGCTGGGCCACATGAAAACTGCCCCTGGCAGTTGTGAGGCCCTCGTGTCGGAGGGTGCAGTGTGAGAAGTGCAGCTCTCAAAGGAGAGCTGTGCAAAGAAGGAAGGCAGGAGGGAAGTTCCTTTCCCTCTACCCTCTATTTACTGAGGTAACCCCCCCCACAGGAGCTAGAATTTGGAAGGGACTATGAAGTGTTTTGATAATAACTGGTTGTGCCCTAACAAAATGCCTCTATGTGTCACACTGGAGAACAGTGTCTCCTGCAGAGCCCCATCTGAGTGGTTCTGTGGCTGCATCTGGGGCAGGGGAGTGAATTTGTAGCCATTCAGGAAGCAAGAGGGCTTGGTTGTATAAACATCATCTCTGCATGGAAGGCTCTCTGTGAGCCAGGTAGCTTTGCCTTCACCAGAACAATGAAGAGTTATCTTTGAAAGCAAATGCAAAGCGTTCTTGGTTTCTTACAGTACCAGAACAAGCCACAAGCACCATACAGCCTTCATACAGCACCATAACAACCTCCACAAGGGTTTGCCAGCCTGCAGATGCTCAGGGCATGGTAAAGATGGAGGAAAAAAATAAGTTTAGCAATGATATTTTCTGTTTCACACTTCTTAAAAAAAATTGTTATTGTAAATATGATTTGCAAAAGTAATGATGCTTTCATTCCTAGTAGTTTACGGATTTGAATGGCTTATGAAAAAGTTAATTTTAATGATAAATTTATAAATCTCATTTTCTTTCAGCGAGCATTAAATAGGAAAAAAATGATTGCAAGTGAATTCAGCAATAAGGATAACTCTGAATCAAGCACTGAGCACGATAAAGAAAATTCCTTTATCAAAACTGAACCAAGAAGAGTTAAAATCTTTGATGGAGGGTAAGTATCATACTTTGTAAACTAAATATTGTTGAGAAAATAACTTTTGCTTGATTGTAGATTTGCGTAGCTCTTGCTTCCTATTTGATTCCTCCTAAACAACAGTTTCCAAACTGCAATCTGTGACTGCTGGTTTATGCTTCCAAGAAAAATGGAAAGTCATCTGAAGCGTAGAGCCATGAGAGAGACGAGGGAGAAAATAAAATAAAGAATAATAAGCAGCGCAAGAGATTTCTTTTTTCCAAAGGACAAACATTAATCAGCAGTAAAGGCAGCTAGATACAGCCACACAGTAAATTCTTTTGCTATATTTCTGTTATGTGATAAATCGTAGCTATTCCACAATGAGGTGAAGTAATTGTAGCTGGAGAGAATATAGTCATGGTGACTGGGCAGGGGCAAAGCAATACACTGCAGCACTCCAGTCTCTCCCTGGCAGCTTTCCATGGTATATGTGGGCAGGAGAACTGATTTAAAATGAACCATGGAAATATTTATTAAGGCTAGTAGTCTGTGCACAGCATTTCATGGGAGTATTTTAAATGAGATGCCTGGTATGGATAACAGTTGCTTGTGCCGTGCTCAGCACCTCACAAAACAAGATCTTTAAGCAGAAAGATGCCATTGACACTTCTGAAAGTTCTGAGCACAAATAGAGCATAATTTATGAATCTCATAATTGGTAATGGGCTTTGGCACCTTCCATTTATACGTCGTTGGCCTCAATCCAGCCTAGGCCAACTGCAATCAGCTGTAACCAGCTACCCAGGTAAGTCCTTGCCCCGTGCCTCCGCTCAGTTCCACATGCTGCAGGGACCGGGTCCCAAAAAACAAGGACAAAACTTGGCATCCTGGAGCAGAGTTGAGTGGTGACTGAATCCAAGCTACCTTTTGAGAGTCAGTGCCACTAGGCTGAGTCCAAAGCGTGGTGATAGCAAATTGTAGACTTACCCATGCTTGTAACTAGTATTGTGCTGCTTCTAAATGAAATGTAGAACCTCAAAAATGTTCTTTTAAAACCTCCTTCTGGGGCCCAAACTCCTTTCCAAAACTGGACATGTTTTAGAGTATATTGCTGTCTTTCAAAGGTGAAATTGGAAATGTTGAAATGTTTAGTGTCAGTTATCAGCCTTTTAAAAAAAAAAAAAAAAAGATGCTATCTTTAATTCAAAGCAAATCACTGATTTCTTGGTGAAAAATAAAGATGTGAGTTCAACAAATGAGCACAAAAGTAGTTTTTGTGTTCTTTTAGTCATTCATTTTCATGTATTAAGTAATTTTTAAAACTCTGATAATTATTGTTTTCCAACTAGAATTTTATTACCTTTACAACTAACTACCTTACTTCTGTGGTACTGTTCCTAGGTATAAATCAAATGAAGACTACGTGTATGTTCGGGGGAGAGGAAGAGGCAAGTACATCTGTGAGGAATGTGGTATACGGTGCAAGAAGCCCAGCATGCTGAAGAAACATATTCGCACCCACACAGATGTCCGTCCTTACCATTGCAACTACTGCAACTTCTCCTTCAAAACTAAAGGTAGTTTTCAGTGTACTTTTTTCCTCTTTTTGGTCTACTCCTGTAAAAGTTTAACACTTTTCTTCTACATTTCTTTGCAACCCCTAATCCAAAGAAGTTGCCTTTCTGGAGTTTTGTTGTCTAATGTTTCCAGTATTTACAGGCTCTTAGTTCCTTATTTTCCTTTGCTTTCTGCAGTTAGGTAATCTCATCTTTATATGAATGAGCTGTGTGGCAAGACATGGTAGGTGGGAAATTGGAGTGGAATAGGAAAATAATGTGGCAGCATGGTAAAAGTTAGATGGAGATAAATGAGATAGCCAGCTGCTCATGCCAAGTAGGAATGGGAACACAGAGATAAAATTGCAAGTCCCTATATCATCTGCTGGGATGACACTGATGCACGTTACACTGTTACTGGCACTCAAGTAATTGTTTCAGTGTAGAATTTGATCTTTATTAAATTATTATTTTAAATTATTAAGTCCATGGGAGGACAAATTTCTTCTCCCCCGTGCCTTCTAAGACCCAAAAATGGACCCCTATGTTTTAAAACCTGTTTATGCAGGTGGCATAGTAAAGAGTGGAAGACGCAGGACTCAAAACAAGTGAAACAAACAGGTTGAAAGGTTCACAGGGGAACTCCTTTGAATACAGTTTTTTAAGCAGTAATTTTTTTTCTTGGCTTTGAAAGCCGTTTAGCTGTAATGACCCAAGCTGTAACCTCAGGAACATTTGTGCTTCTAGTCTTTTCAGCCTCACTTAGGAAAGCTTCCAAGAACGGACACTGAAAAAGTAGGATAGATGCTTTTACATGTGTCAAAATTTAGCACTGTGTGCTGATGCACTGCCTGAGTAGTCAGTCATCTTGCCTTGTTGTGCCATCCCTTTGATGAAATGCCAGATTGAGAACATGATAAATCTTGATTATAGTTTTTGCAGACTAGGTCTGTCGGCCGGGTGCAAGTAATTAAGTTCTGCCCACTGTAATTCTCTTGCCTTTCAGTTGCAGAAGAGATTTGTGTTCGCTCCCCGTTCCGCAATTACTGTGCACTGCTGATGTCATTATTGCCAGCAAAGTCAGGCACAGAGGGGGCTGCGTGATGGTCGGTCACCTGCCCTTCATGGAAGGACAAAGTAGTCAATAATTTCATATTGTAATGGGAAACTGGAAAAACTGCTATTTATTAGTCACTCAGCAGGAATTTATAGTTTCATATAAATTTTGGCAAATTTTAGGCTAAAGCTCTAGGTTCCTTCCGGAGCAGGAATAAAATTCTCAATGAAGAATGATCACAGAAGAAGCAGTATTTCACCAACTGTTCTCTTTCCAACTGAAATTCCTCGAAGTAAAGGGTTTTCTCTGAGACAACCTAAAATTTAAGTGCAAAGTAAGCAGCTACGTGTAAGAACATCCCATGCATAGATTTGGCCATTTACAGATCTCTTTGATCTGCTCTCTTCTCGATGATGTTTACTATATTTTCTTCCCAAAGAAGGAAAGGGCTAAAAAGGGCCCTTACGATTATGATGATGTATATGACTTGCAATAACCAGGCTGTGGTGCCCCTTGGCACTTACATGTTCACTTTGGGGATCAGACTCTATTTTTGTCATGCTCTAGTTTTGGGTAAAATGAATCTGTTTGCCTAGGTCTGCAGTGGAAATGGTTAAGCTAAAAGCAGAATCTATCAAATACTAAAATACCTGCAAATCACATTGACGGTTAATGTAGTTTTGAAGACTGAATCAGACTGTGATATAGCTTGCCATAAACAAATGAAAGATCTCTTGCAACTCTGTAAAATACAGCATTTTCTAGGTTTTCTCTTTTGTTCTATTTTATCTAAGTAATGAACTGCATAAAATACAGACAGAGAACTAATAACATTCAGGATGACAAATCTGTCACAGCCTTTGACAACTTACAAAAGGTTCTAGCAAGTGAATAATAAAATTATATAGGCAATCATAAATACAGCTGTATAGACTATGAAAGAGTTGTGTATATTTGTGTACATTGTTGTTATGTATATATTTGTATACCTTGTATAAAGAACAGCTAATTTTTGTTTCTTTCTTAAGGAAATCTGACAAAACACATGAAGTCAAAGGCACACAGCAAGAAGTGTATGGACTTGGGAGTCTCAGTAGGCTTAATAGATGACCAAGATGGAGAAGAAGAATTTGGTAGGAGTTTAATATTTTCTTTACTACATTTTTGTATGTATTTTGTAATCCCGGTCTCTTACCCTTTCTTTTCCAAAGCTTTTAAATTCTGTTAGAGGGAAATGGTGCAGTGATAAACAATCTCAGAAGCTAGTCAAAGGCAGCAAGAGATATTGGAAAAACCTTCAGCTAAAACAAATGACTGGCAGATGCTGAAGATACCGAAAAATTGCTGCCGATTTTTTCACAGTTTTATGCAGTTTGACTTGGCTGGTTTCACAGACAAATCTGACAAAACTGAAAATACCACAGAAACAGCTGTTTGCCTAGAAAAAATAGCCTGCCTTCCTAAAATATAGTATATATTTCAGAGTATTTGTGCATGAAATTGTCAAAGTTTTGAGATGCGTGTTTCATTAAAACTGTGTTGCTAACAAAGACCACAAAACTACAAACATGTTGCTGAGTGCTTTGCACAGGCTTTGCAAGGAGGCTGGTCTTGTGTCAAGTTCAACCCATTCACAAATGACTGAGCATTTTCAACAGATAATTTACAAAATATGATTTTTTTTTTTGTCATGGTCTCATTGACTTTTCCATAATTTATGAGCCTTTTATCAAAATGAATTTAGTTTAAAAAAAATGGAATCCTTCATTTCCTGCATACCCAAATGGTTCTGTTGAAGAAGAGATGAGATTGAGGACAGTCAAAGAATGACAAATGGGACCTGTGTCAGTTTTGCTCAGTGTGATGAGAAGAATGGGGTAGATGCAGCAGCAGCAGTGAGACGCAGGGCAGGATTCTGTGTTTGCCCTTTGGTTTGGATCTTGGCATTTCTCAGAGTAGTGCTGAAATCTCCTCCTTTCTCCCATCTCTCAGCAGGGAGATGAGTCCCATTGCCTTGTCTTGTGTTTTTCTCATTGAGTTGATTTGCTTTGACACGAAGATTTGAGAAATGGAAGAAGTGAGAAGCTTTATATCTAAGCAGTAAAAGACAAGGAAGATGAATGCACCTGCTCCCATATGACAGTCTCTAGCAGAAATAAGCAAATCAGCCTGAATCTAACTCTAAATAATGCCGGGAGTGTGACTCAGCGAGCGTGATTCAGGAGTGCTCTAGGTACAAGGAACCTGCACCTCTCCCTTTTTTAGCAGTTAGATTTATTCCTTGTTATTCACTGTTAGATTTAGGAAAGCTAAAAACAACCCCCTTGGCAAAGGATGTGCCAAACAGCCCAGAAGATGAGCAGCAGCACAAATGATTGTCCTTTTTTTTCACTTAGGAACAGTTTTCGTTAGTGTTTTCAACCCCCATGTGACAGAAGAGTTGCTACAACTTGCTTGAGCATTGTGCTGTAGCTTTGCACGTTTTATTTGGTTTTATGAGCTACAGATGGCCAGATGCTTCCCATTTACTCACTGAATACATTGCATTGATTGATAAGCTGATACGGCCAATTATATACTTCCAACATTGCATTTGTGGTTATAGTATGATGATGTTGTTGGAAACAACATGGAAACAAGGATAATGTTTCCAGGGTTAAAATCATTACCTGTAACATCCCGTGCAAGTAAGGCATTGCAGATGGTTGTTGAAAGATTATTTGCCTTTGGCTCCAAGAATATTTCACTGAGAGACAAAGTCTCCCTCTTTACGTAGAGCATGTACATGTGTGTGCAACTGTACTGTACATATATATATATAGAATGGTCCCTGAAATTGATTCTTTGTTTCAGTAAAGTAATTAAATGATGTTGCAGATTTAAAAAAAAAAAAAAGAAAAAGAAAAAAAACTTTGACAAACCTTCAATAGAATTGACCATATAAATTCATAACATTTTCTCAGAAATTTAGTTCTAAGACAGCAATGCAATTCTTTCAAAATAAATCAGAGGACACATTTTTCACTATGAACCTAAATACAAAAAAAAAAAAAAATTAGCAATAAAATTCCTAGCTTCTGTAAATGATGTGGCTCAGGTACTGAGAGCAAAGCAGCTGTGGCAGCACAGACCTCAGCACAGAAATCCCGTGGCAGAAGCAGGATAATTAGGCTCCCAATAAGCCCACAGCTGCTGCAGCCAAACCAGTGCAGCCTCCCCAGGCTGCACTGCTCCCCAAAATCACAAAATCCTGTGATTTTGGGGCTTGTTGTGTGTCGTGTCCTTTTGGTGCTTCACACATAGCACCTTTAAATGCGAATATTTTTTACCTTGGGAGTCGAGTGGTTGTTAAAAATGATCTCTCTCATAGAACCAGTGGTCTGCATAGTCCAATATCTTTCTTCAAATGGAAGCCAATATGAGATGATGTAGAGGAAGGTGCAGAAAATCTGATAAGAAATAATTATGACCTCAGAAGAAGTCTCCTTTCCCTTAGGCCGTGAAAGATCGGCCTGTTTCCTGACCCTTACAGTGTCTGTGTGTTTCAAGCTGATCTCTTATCCTGGCTTCTGTAAGGTCGATTATTCTTATGATAATAAAATTGTCTGCACCTTTGCTTTCGATAACTAAGTTATTTATCTGCAGCAAGACTTTGAGGTAGAGAAGCTCTTTCAGAGAACTAGCGAGAAGATTAAGAAAGTCACCAAGCTCTTAATTATGAAGGGATTTGTTAGGTCTGTTTTTTTGCATTCTTTAAGCATAGGCTTAAAATAGACTGATTTGAACAGATTCATTTGTTAGACTGAAGAGTTGTCTTTGACCTGGGTATTAATGCAGATTAATACCTGCATGGTGAATATGGAATGAAAAATCATGTGCAGTCCAAAGGAGCCCACACTCACACACACAGAGCCTGTTTTTGGTAATTTGAGAGGCTAAAATTTTGTTGTACCAGTTCTAGGGAGAAAAAAAACATGTTCCCTAGCTGTCTGAGAATATATGTGATCAGATCTTTTAACATAGCTTCCTTTGTGTGTGGACTTGTCATTATTTGGGTATCAGTAAATACTTTCTGACCTTGCTTTTTGTATTCAAAACCACTTCCTCATCCATTTATCTTTCATCTGCTCCTCTGTGGAATGTTCTTGTCACCAAAATGCAGGGTTACAATGTAAGGAATGTTAATATCTGAATTAAATTGTCAGGCAAGGTGAGCTGTTTAGAGTGACAGACTGCAACTGGGGGTATCCTCTATTGCCATGTTGGTCTGAGATTTTGCTATGCAGTTTTATTAAGACTTTTTTGTTTTTACGTTAAAACAGTTCTGAACCTAAATGTCTAATATTTCGTATGCAAGCTAACGTACAAATTGCATGGTATGCCTGAGGAAATTTGCCCAGGATAGTTTTTAATAATGAATTTTGCAGATGGAGAGAACTCATTTGAATGGTCTCTGTGGAGATATTTTATTTCAAAATAGTCAACCTGTTAAAAGACCTAATTGCAAGATTCATAAATATATATAATATATATGTAGCTTTCATTTTCTACAGTATTAAAAAAACTTTCCAAAGATATAATGGTTCTAAGTTAATCAGCTATGTGTTATTTATCATAGTAGATCTTTAATTAGTTTCTATAGGTCTTCATTAGCTTAATCATGCCTGTGTTTTCAGTGCACCTCCATTTAAGAAGCGAAACTACCTGAAAATGTTTGCAATAATACCCTAATTCAGCAAGGGGAATGTAAAGCTGGTTCTGCCTAACTTACAGGAAATGTTTTTAAAATAGTTTTTAATATCACTGTCTAATCTTCTGCTAGTTGTGCATTAAGCCTGCTGGAGCCCTACACCTACCGCGTGGGAACAGAATAGCTAATGTTAGGGTTGATTTACAATATGCAGGTTACCCAAAGCAGCTTAGATGTGAATAACTCTCTTTCAAGAAACATAGATTTTTTTATTGTCGCTTTTACTCTGTTATTTTCCATACTTTAAATGTGAAATTCAGCAGCCCAGATTTTTTTTCCCTCGTCTTTGAGAAGGAGAGGACACATTTCCAGTTTGAACTTAACCCAGTAGATGTCACTGTGAGTCCCTCTTTGGTCACGGGGAGCGATGGACAGTAGCTGAAGCAAGACAGAAATTAGCCCCGAAAAGCTTGTGAGCATCCTTTAAAAGACAGGAAGATGCTTATGGCAAGTTCAGATACAGATAGGAGCTTTGTTTCACGCTACTTTCTTTTATTTTGCTTCCTGAAACTTGTCGGAAAGGTCCTGAGACTGCCCATTTAAAGTCAAATTGAATATGCAAAGAACAGGGCAGAGCTGGTGTCAGTTTAGAAAAGTGGGGAGTGTGGGGATGATATACAGACCTTGCTTCAAGTTAATGATATGATGATCACCTACTGGAAAAGTATTTCTGTCTTTATTTCTATAGTGCGTATTAATCTTGAGCTTGATATATTGATTTTTTATTAAATACTTTATTCCATGTATTAATAAGATCTGAAGATGCAGTCACGGTTTGAGTTGATCAACATTGCTTTGAATTAAAATTCAAGTGCTAAACGCCAGTAAATTCAGCACAAAGTCAAGGCTGGACATAGACAGTTGACAGACCAACAAATAACAAGATAGGGTTTTAATCTGTATAAACAGAGCTAATAGTGGTGCCTGTGGCTACTTAACATAATCCCATTTCCATCTGCTTAGGAACTTGCAAAGCTTCGGCAGTCTGGTCTTAAATTATCAGTTGTTTGGACGTAGATTTTCAGCTGCCTTCCTGCAAATGAATGAGTAAAAATTAAACTTCCGCTCTTCATGTGAGAACCTACCTACGTATGGTTAAGTTAGAAGTCGCTGAGTTTTGTTGCTTGATTCAGTGCAGAAATTGCTAAGCCTGTAGCATTGGGGCCTGAAAAGTCTGGCCATGTAATGGGCTACTTGGTGATAACACCCTAATTAAAATAAGAGATGTAAGTTTAGATTTTGAAGATAATAGTTGGTGAGCATTGCTAAAGTCACGTACTGTCAGGATCCCTGTAGGAAAAACATTTGTAATAAAAAGCTTTATGTAGAGAGAGCTATCTTAACTTCTAATGTAGAGCATCAGACTGGTAAAAAGTGCATGGATTCATCAGCCCAAGGCATCTTACTGATGGACGTGTTAGGATGCTGATGATTCAAGCTAATGCTTCTGTGCTAACACACTTTAAGCTTTTTCTTTCCTGCTCCAAGGTAAAATGTCAGCTTAATAGAGCCCTAGCTGACAGACAATCACCACCACAAACAAAATACTGACCTGATGGACAAACTAAGGATCAAGGACAAGAGTAAGAAGGTTCTTGCCTGTGATTTTTAGGTGCTTACTCTAATACAAAAGATTGAAAACTGAATGTTATTGAATATAATGATAGTTGAAATACTAGTCAAAATCTAAAGTCCAGTCGAAAGTGGTATCAGCATTTCCGTTTTCCATCTGTCGTTAATTTTTGAAGTGTTTGGGTGTGTAGCGAGGAGTTCCAGCCTTACCTGTGAAGGCCAGGAAGAATAATCTTTCAGAGGGTTTTAAAGAAAAGACTGCATCAGTTCATGGAGAGCAGACACTGTTCCCCATTCTTCTAGAGCACGCTAAGGACGCGCTCCATGCGCGCCGTCAGGTACTTGCACTTGGAAAAGAGCCATCTTTATTATCTGTAAAACTTCTAAAAATGTATTATTATTTTCAACCTGGGAACTTTCACACTCAGAACTACTTCCTCGTATGCTGGTGGGCTTTAAATTCATGCTGTACCTTTCATTCTAGAGTATCCCATGCTGCTTTATAACCTCATTCAGAAGGTAAACACAGAAGTTATTTAGTTGCTCCCTTTGGCAACTGAGTCAGTGCTGGTTATATATGTCACATCCCTAAGCAGATGCCTATAATTGCACATCGTTTAAGACACGAAGCAAAGAATTGCGTGCCCTTTTTTTCCCCCAATTAAAACATCCATTGAACTTCAGCAGGCTGCCTACAATTACCAAGGTGGAACTGGGCCAGGAATCCTTGCTTAAGGAGCCCAAGCTTGGGAACGGTGCCAAGAGGCCTCCTGGTGCAAGGAGCAGCCCCAGGCGCCGTTCGGTACCTCGGAGAGGAGGCGGCCTTGAGCCTGCCTGGTTCTTCTCCGCTTGAGAAAAGAACATGCAGGAACTCTCACAACTTCCCTAATTTGCAGTCGCGCTTAAAGCCCCCTCCCTTCCGAGGGCTTGGGGCCCTCTCGTTTCATCATTGCACCCAGGTATGGAAGATGGGAGGGCTACTTTTTGCATTGCCACAGCGAGTGAGGCGGGAATTTCTTCCTGCGATGTCTGGAGGCAGCGTGGGAGTGCGGGAGCCACGCTCGCTGCTGCTGCCACCTCGGCTGCGCTGCGGGCTCTGGCTCCAGGTAACCACACTGAAAGAGAAGCTGGCAAACTCATGAAAGGTGGAGGAAAACAGGGAAACAATAGAGGGAAACGATATCCCACAGAGACTCGCGTTTAAGGAATCTGTATCCCACACATGGTTCCCCTTTCCCTTTCCATATTTTTATTTTAGGAGGTTGAGACATATGCAGAAAACTCAGAAAAACTCTACATAAGCAGGATTTTTCAGTAAGTCCTGATTTTAGGACTTTAGAAAGTCCTTACTTTAGTAATTTTTAGATGTTAATTCTGAAAAGATACTTTCTTGTTACAAAGCAGGGCATGTTTGTTCATATATTTTCCTTGCTTTAAAGGTGTGACAAGCTAGTCTAATTGCTTCAGATAGCTTTTCTTGCCAGTAGAGATAACCACTCATGATTGATATCAGCTTTCACAGGAAATGTGATTTGTGTATGCAGAGAGAAAGGGAAAAAAATAGTAGTAGGGTTTTCCAGAGGATACTTCTTTGGTGTTGGTAAAATGAAAGGTATCCCCTCAAAGAGACCAAAATTCAGAGAGTCCAGACTGAGACCCCACAACTCTGTAATGCCCCATGCATTATTTAAAAAGTTGCAAAAAAAGATATAGGCCACCCTTTGGATATAACACATGGAGAGAAGCATGTCGAGATCTCTTGCAGAAGCATTGAAGGAAATTATTTCAGTTCAGAACTCAGGTATATGTAAAGATTAATTTTTTTAGGGTTTTTTTGATTTACACATTAATGGTGAAAATACAATGTTGTTTGTGTGAACAGGAGAAATGACAAGTATGGAGAAAATAATGCTGAATAATTCTATGTGCTTTCATTAGTAGCACATTTAATCCTATTTATGGTATTTTAGGAATGGACTTCTCTGGATTTGTTTTTCTACGAAAATATATTTTCTTCTTTGAAAACTATAAATGAAGGCTATTCAAAGTTAAAAGCACATATTTTTGTTAGCATCATTCCAATGACCTGGAGGATTTAGAGTATTTTTAATAACATTTCAGTCATGCCTGCTATAGTAAATGTAGAAAATCCATAGTTTCCATATTTAGTTAACCTCTAAGTTACTCTACAGACAAAGAGAGACTAAGTCATTTGAGTTTGGGATATTTTTTAAGAATCTATTAGCCCTCTTCCTAATTGCACTGCTCATTTGAGTTGAGATGTAACTCTGTTAGACCCACTATTTTCATCTAGAGTTGAAGATTTGTGTATTGTTCTTGGTAACAGAGCAGCTGTAAGAATTAGAACTACATGCAGTATATTCTTTGACTTGTAAAGGTCTGATTTTTTAAAGACTTATTCATTTTGACGGTCAGTTGCTCTGTAAATCTCCCGAAAACAGGATCCCTGAAATTTTAACCAACCAGCCCTCATTGGTTTTGCAAAGCCAAATGATTTTTGTGCTGATATTTTCTTTGGAGAGCCCAGCAGACAGACCTTTAATCTAATATGGAATGCTAGCGCATCCAAAGCATTTTGACTTTTATAAAATAAGATCCCAGACAGTCTGGCTTAGAATCAGATACAGCAGATGGGATTTTGTCTCTTTACTAAAGAAGATTCTTTCTTTCCAAGTTGAGGTATGGAAGGTAAAAAGCTGCAGTCGAGCTGTGTTTTGTCGATAAATTTGCCACCAAACAGCAGGAAGCATCGGCACCACTTTGATTTTAAGACTTGAATTCAGTAGGGCCTCTCTAGATGAGCAAAGTTTCATGCACAGACAAGTTTTTATAGGATTAGGGCCTCCTTGCCGCCTCAGACACCTCGGGTAGCTCTTTAATAATCTTTTCAAAACAACTAGCAAAGTGAGGAATTCTGGTGAGGGCTAATTTTGGTCTCCCTTGCCTGTTAACAAGACGGATTTCTGACTAACAGCCTCCAGGCTTTTTGTTCCTGTCTTCCAACCCGCTTTGCAGCAGTGATTCACGTTAGCTGCAAGGCCACCCACTTATGAGTCAGAAGCGGCTAGAGAGCGTCCCGCTGCTCGGGCTGGCAGCCCGGCCTCGTGGGGAGTCACCGGGAGCTTCACGAGCCAGGGATCCGCTCCCCACGCACCGGCACCAGGGGCCGCTTTGAGTGGGTGCTTATAGGCGCTTTGGAAGGAAACGGGCCGTTCCAGAAGGAGCAGGAGATAAAAGGTTATGTAACCACACGACGGATTTGACACGTGAAATATAATAAAAATCTAAAAACGTTTGCGTGTGTTTGCGTGTATTCCCTTTGTAAAAGGGAAGATCGGCCTCGTTGCTTTGATGTGGATGGAGTGACAGGACGTGCACGTGCAGCATCTCCTCGTAGTGTTTGTGGTTGTTCCCTCCCGCGTTATCCCCGGCGAGCGCGGGAGCTTCCCTGACTGCCCCTTCCCGCCTCCGCAGGTGAGAAGCCGAGGTTCGGCTGCGAGCGGCCAGCGTTCGACGCCGACGAGTCGGACGGCGCCGACGAGGACGACAACGACAACGAGGAGGACGACGAGGACAGCCAGGCCGAGTCGGTGCTGTCGGCGGCGCCCTCGGTGGCGGCCAGCCCCCAGCACCAGCCGTCGCGGCAGGGCCTGCACGAGGCCGCCGACGAAGAGCCCCGCCTGGCCGACTGCCTCGCCGGCCTTCACGCCGACTCCATGGACGGCCTGCCCAAAGCGCTGCTCACCAAGATGACCGTCCTCAGCGCCGTGCAGTCCGTCGGCAGGGCCTCCTCCGCGTCCCCGGGGGAGTTCAGCCCGCAGGAAGCGGCGGACGACAAAGCGCCCGAGAGGGGAGCGGGTGCCCGGAGCGCGGCCGCGCCGGAGGCTCCTCCTCGCTCCCCGGGTCGGCAGATGTCGGTGGATTATCCCGATCCGGACGCAGCCTTGGGGCACTCGCTGATGTCAACTGCGGTTCTTACAAAGGTAGGATCCTGGCGGAGAGAGGGGGAAATTTCAGTCCTCCATTTACAAATTACCTGGGGAATTTGGGGAAGATGGAATTGCTCCTCTTGCCAGTAATTCTTGAAGTTGTTGGCTGAGGCATCTTTAAAGCACATAGAAGTTACTGAGGCACAAACAGGTGGCACTGCACAAACAGCAACACCAGGAGCACTGCTTTTCATTTTATGTGATTTTCAATTCTGGATTTGATTTTGATTGCCTTTCCCTCGAAAGGACTAATATAATATGGTCGTCTCAGTTAAAAATGGGAGTAGGTAGACCGCGTTACAAAAAAAAGAGGGAATATAACATTTTTAGAATGAACATATGTTGGCAGTTATGAAGTTTTCAGGAGAAAGTGATAGAAGTCTTTTTTCTCTGAAATACAGAGATAGAATCATTGGTAACTCCTGTGGGAAATTAATCTAGTCCCAAAGGTTCTTGCCTTATCACTGTAAAAAAATTGTGCAATTGCTTATCTCTCCTCCAGATATGCTTAGCAGAGGAATTAGAAAGAGCACCATATGTTCAAGGAAACTGGGAAATTTCCCTTGCACAATAACGGAGAGAGAAGCGCAGAACTGAGACCTCGGTGCTCTCAGTTTTTCTCCAGACAGAAAAAATATTTTAATAGGAGAAGGATCAGTTTTGCCCACGCTCGTTCTAGACATATGGCTCTTCAGAGCCTGCAGAAAGGTTAGGTCACTCTGTATATAAGGCTGCAGGAATATGCAGTAATTTTTGCAACTAGTGTCTATGAAACTCTGCTGAGGAGATCGCAGGAGGGACCTGGCAGGTGCTCAGTGTTTCACAGGTTGGCTCTATTTTACTGAGCTTCAGCGGGGACAGCATAACTCACAGACCTCGTTGACCCCAGTGGTACCTCTTTAAGGTTTTGAATTCTTACTTCAAGCCATGAACACACTGGAACTTCCCAGAGCAGTGCTTAGAAAAATGTGAGGCAAAATGTTGAATAGCTTCAATAAGGAAATTATTATTGCCTTCTCAGCGATGAATGCAATATTTTCAAATATTGTGTGAGTTCAGTTGCAGAAAAATAGGCAGCAGGAAATTTGCAGTAGCATAAACAGCAGGTAAAAATTTCAATATAGTTTAAGTACTTATTAGTTTGTTTTTTTTTTCCTTTGAAATCTGTACTATTGTGCTTATTTTTGAAAATTTAAGGCAATTGAAGTATGTATTTCAATTGAAGCGTCTAGAAAAAGGAAAAATATTGTCATATTTCATTGTTTGGCAAATGTTAATGCCTGCTTATAAAGGCATGTGACAAACATAAGTTCAAGCAACTTTGCTGCATGACAGGTTAAAAAATGCAGCAGCCTCAAAAACCACTGTAGACACCTGTGACCACAGGCAGAATCATGATATTTAGGTTTTGTCCTTTGTTTGTTGCCAGTAGATACAAAAAAAAGGCTGACTTTACTTCCGCTTAAAATAGAGCCACTAAAGAAAGACTAGGGAAGATATTCATTCAATTAATAACATTAAATTGTTGCTATTAACATAGCTCTAATAATTCTCTATATTAATGTTAAAAAAAAAAAAGGCATGTAAGTAATACAAGGTCATAGATACTTATGAGACCTCGTTTGCCTCATCAAAAAGACTCGGTTCTGGGCGAGAAGTCTGCAATCTGTTCCCATTGCGAATGTTTGTGGATCCAACTTGCAGCCATCGAAACGAGGGATAGATGTTTCAGTGGAGCTGTATGTTCTTTAAGGAGCATCCTTGTCAGGTCTGTGGGAGATGCTGCGAGAGGTCAGACAGCATCTAATTCTGAAAAAGGTTTTGACTTCCTCCTGTCACCTAGCTTCCCATTTAGAGTGGATGATACTGAGTAGTCTTTACATTGTTTTCCCCTTTTGCCAGTTTATTTCCCACTAGTGCTTTTTAGAAGTGCCTTGATTAGTACTTATTTTTTGTGCCTGATTTAGAGATTTCTCAATCACAGCTTATGTCTGTATAAGGAAGGTCACAGCACTTTTTCATGTATTATGAATATGCTCAAAACTAGAAAGAGATCACACTCCTCACAGCAGCTTGTCTGTAACATGTTAAAGCAGAGAGGCCTGAGAGATGATGATTGCAATGCAAGATGTTGTAGGTGGTGTTAGCCAAGGAGCTGTGGCTGCCTAGGCCATTGCCAGAGTCTATGAGTAAGAATGGGGGCAGGCTAATGCCATTATTAGTCCGGGGTTGTGCACCAGGTCAAGGCAAGCTGAGGCAAGAATAAAATGCAGGTCCTGCATCTCACTCCAATATCCATCACTTCAGCTTCTGAGGGCTCTGCAGGTGTCCTCCTCCTTCAGTTCTTCTCATCCTTTCTCCAGATTAGAGTCACAAATGGATGGACGTGTTGTGGTGTTCCCTCTGCCTTCCATAGGCTGCAGTTCAGCAGATGCTTCCAGTCAAGGAACCTCATGTATCAGAAGCACCTACTTATTTTAACTTTCTTGTCTGCGGTGACTTCCATGGGGCTCAATTCTCCAAAACCTTTTTCCTCCTTAAGAAGTGTGTATGAAGAGTATTCAGCAATCTTTTGGAGTGTTCAAGAGCAAGTAGCTAGGGTAATTATGAGAGGAAAATTCAATTAGTGGGTGAGGAAGGAGCTGGAAAAAGGAAGGAAACCAGTGCATTGTTGGGGCCGGGCAGTATATACAGTGAACAAGTGTGTTGTTTTGCAGAGGGAGGGTGGGGAGCCGGGGAGCATTCCAGGCCACCCCGTGTTCTCCCTTCCCGCAAGGATGCGCTCGCCGTCGTTCTCACCCCTCTCTGTTGTTCCCCGCCAGAGCGCTCCCTGTGCCAGCTCTCCCTCGTCGCCGCCGGAGCGGAGCGCGCCGGCCCCGGCGCCGCCGGCCTACGCGGAGGAGCGGCCGCCCGGCTGCCCGCGGCTCCCGGCGGAGCCGCCGCCGCCCCACAGCCGCCTCTTCAGCCACCTCCCCCTGCACTCGCAGCAGCAGCAGCAGCAGCAGCAGCAGCGGCCGCAGCAGCAGGAGGCCCGGGCGCCTTGCGGCGTGCTGCCGGTCGGGGGCATTCAGGTGGTCCCTGCGGGCCTGGCCGCCTACTCCACGTTCGTGCCCATCCCGGCGGGCCCGGTGCAGCTCACGATTCCCGCCGTGAGCGTCATCCACAGGACGACGAGCGCGCTGGGCGACGCGGCCGGCGTGGCGCCCGCCGCCGCCAACCCCGTCGGGGTCGCGGAAGTGAACAGCGTCGTGCCGTGTATTCCCATAGGTCAGATTAACGTGCCAGGCATCCAGAGCCTCGGCGCGCCGAGTTTACAGCCCCTGCCGCCCTTAGGCGTGGAGACGGTGAATATCTTGGGCCTGGCAAACACGAACTTAGCCCCACAGATCCGCCCGTCGGGAATTACTCTAAATACGCTAAATGTGGGGCTGCAAGTTTTGACTGCCAACGCTTCTCCACAGAGCAATCCCAGCCCTCAGACGCACATTCCAGGTTTGCAGATTCTGAACATAGCGTTGCCCACGTTAATCCCTTCCGTCAGCCCCGCAGGCGTTGATGGACAAGGAGCTCCCGAAGCGCCGGCCTCCAGTAGCAAAGCCTGCGACGTCCAGCAGGAGCTGCCCGCCGGGAGCTTCCCAGCAGCCGACACCAGCCAGGGCCCCGGGGCTGCTTCTCCACAGGCTGCTCCCAGTGCCCAGCGGTACGGCGCGAAAAGCCTTTCGGAGCCCGCCCCTCCGAGCGACTACGAAAGACCTCGTGGGCCAGGGAAAGCGGACGTGGAAAAGAGCGACCTTGCCAATCACCTCCAGCCCAAGGGTGAGGTCCCTTGCGGGCAGGTGACGCGGGCTTTGGCAGCAGAGCCCCGCTTAAAGGTGAATTCTGACGTTCTGCCCAAGTCCCCGGTGCATCGAACTGCCTCTCCAGACAGACAGGTACACAGGCCAGCAGCCTTGCCCCGCAGGCAAAACACGGTGCAGTTTAGTGATGGCAGCAGTGACGATGAGGATAGACTTGTAATAGCAACCTAGTTTTTGTTTTTCGTTGTGTTTATTATTATTTTTTTTTTTTTTATAACACTTACAGGTTTCTTGGTAAACCTTCCTTTCCTTAAAGCACATTTTTTTCTGACACAAACCCATTACTAATCTTTGTGCAATCATGAACTCTTGACCAATAATTGTTGTTTCTTGTCAGCTCCAGCCATTTTTGTACATGTTGTATAGACGATTGTGCCTTTTTGGAGTTTTATGTTTAGAAACCTGTACAGATTGTTGAATATATATATATAAAATATATATATATAAAATATGTATATTAAAACCAAGTAGTTGCTTGTGTTTAGTAAGTAAACATCTTATGTCAGATAAATAAAGGATTAAATTATATGTTGCACTGTTAAATGTAAATTTTTATGGCTGTGGGACAAAGTTTCTGTGTACAGATCTAGTATGTAAAACTCCATATTTATTGTATCCATACTAGTCTTGGAAAAGGGTCTGTCCATCTTTCTTGTGTAAGACGGTAGCTTTACACTTCAAAGAGAAATACAGTATCTGTGTTATGGAATATTACAGTAAAATTTTGTTTACTGACTTTACCATTGCTTATGTTGTGCCTTCTTGATGCAGCCTAGTAGTTGGAGAGGCGCTTGGCTCGTTCATTTTAGTGCTGTTTCAGTTGCTTTCACATTGAAAGGCCTTGGTGATGGTGTATGCCCACACGATCCCACCTCCCGTGAGAGGACTGCTCTTCGGGCTCGCTTGGAGCAAAACCTTCCATTTCAAAGCATCCAACGATGATGAAGTGGAGAGGGAACCCTTCAACTTTGGGTATAGTGAGCATCCATCAGCCCGTTTTTTTTTTTCCACTTTGTAACTAAAACTTGAAAACCTACCCAGGAGAAAATGGCAAAAAGATCAAGATGAAATATTTTTTATTTGTAATCTTGAACTATAATGCCACTTTTTTGGAAATTAAAATATTGTTGAGCAAGAAAGGAATAACTCTGTGTGTGTTCTTAATTGCAAGATCTGCCGTACAGTTGGTGAAAATGCTGCTGTGATAATGAGGGTTTGGCATTGCTGATTATCAGCAGCCTCTGAGCAAACTTCATTTCAGGGACTCTTTATTTACATCTAGACAAAGCTAATTTTCTTCTAAATATGTTTTTACCTTGTTCAGAAAGAGAGGGGGGGAAAAAAAGGAAATAGAAGCTTTACACGTACCGCGAATGTGCCCTTATTTCAACAACTCAGCAGTATGGGCATACAAGACGCGGAAGGATTTCAGCAGAATGAATAAAAATGTGTTTATGCACAGTGAAATTTAAAGTTATTAAGAAATCTGTGTGCTAAGCTACTTCAAGAGTTGGTACCCTCACATGATATAGGGCTGTGCGTTCCTGAAAACTTTGAATTGAGCCAGGGTCTGTGCTATAATTTTTAATAAGTTGGGGTTTTTTTCCAGTGCCTCTACATCACATTATTACACTATGTTTATAAACCAATTTTAACGACCAAATTCCAGTAGAAAGCTAGAAGATGTAAATTAAAGTCATAATTGCCTTTATGGAAATAATGAAGATAAGTGCGTATAAAATAGCTGGAAGAAAATGATGGGAAGAAAGTCTTGGGGAAAAAAAAATAGCAGTAAAACTGAGTGTGAACTGGGCTGCATTGTTCACAGATTAACTCCTGTACCCAGCTCACAGAAGTAATTCATAGTTTCATAGTCAAGAACAGCAATATCCTAGATATATTTTTAATTTCACATCTGCTTTTGTACTATTCTCACATTGTACTCATTACATTATTCCATTACGATGTGTTGTAAAACTGTAGGCGATGTTGAGTGAGCTTTAATAACTTGGAGAAAGAGCCCTTCAGTACCAAAAAAAATCATGTATATTGCTATGATTATCAGCCAATTGTGCTAATCCGGCAATTAGAAACACACATACTGGAACGGAGAGATTGCTCTCAATGCAGGCATGAATGTTCATGTAATTCTGTATTGTGCAGAGCCACGGTGAGGGTCTGATCCCCTGAACTGCTGAGCGCTCTCAGCTCACGCTGAAGTGACTGAGAGTTAAGGGTACTCAAGGCCCACAGTGTCGGACTCCAATCTGTGAGTGTCTCACGTACAGCCGCTGTGTATGTGCCGTGTCACTGTGCATTTGTATGTTCTCTCGATGAAAATGTACTGATGTCGATGTGTCTTCTGTCATTATCATTTATACTGAATGTGTGAAACGAGCTGGACCAGTCGAAGTTAAAAGCACTGCTGCGTTACATGTGCTTCGAGAGCCAGAAACTGCCCTTTGCTAGCGGAAGCGGGAAGTGTTTAATGTGTTTTATGAGCACTAGAAACTCTGCCTTGCCTTTAGCTTCTGTGTGATAGACACATGCAAACAAACGAGAAGAAAGCTAATAGGTATTTTGAGCGTATTTGTCTACAGCTTGGCCAAAAAAGTTGCCTGAATCAGAAGGGTTTACAGCGAAGCAGAGCTATCTCCAAAATGTTGAATGCAGTCACGAGTGTTACTGTTTCTCTGATTTGATAAGCAGTAAGAACCTTATTCCATACACCCTAAGGTCTTGATTTTACTAACCATTAGAAACTCCAGAGATTTACTATGTACACATCTTAAATATTAACTTGACTCTTAAGTGTGCATATGCTAGCATTCTAAGGATTAATTCGAGGGAATACTGCACTGGTATGAGAGCATAGAGAAAATTGGTAACCCGGTGTTCAACCTGGTGAATCAGACCATCAGCATGTGCCTCTTTTCTCTTCTAGGTGCTTTGAAGATGCGAAGGTCACGAGGTGGAGCGGAGGTATCTTGAAGAAGAAGGACAACAAGTCAACAGATGTGTCATAAGGAGGAATTACAAGACATGCGTGTCACTTGGTAAGTTAGAAGCAATACAATAGAGGGAAGGGACAAAGGTAACGGGGCAGTCAGTATTACTGGTATCAAGCAATCACCACACATTGCAAGACAACACAGCTGAGACAGTGTTTGAACAAGGAAGCCCACTAATAATGAAAGGATTAGCAGGTAGTTACAGTTCTGTCTAACCTTGCTTGAATGGAGCAGGAGGAAATCACTCTTTTCTGGGAGATGGGTATTGTTTCCCTTCTCTCTAATGTGTTTTAGAATAGGTACTTCTGGGAGATGCCTCTGCAACATTGTGTAAGAGTTTAAAAAAGTAATAGCATGACCAGACCTAAGAAGTTAAAATCCTTACCTCTCCTTTGTCCCTATATATCAGTTTCACTTTAATTGTGCACAGAACCACCATCTTTATATCAGCATATACAGGTGCCCTGTGCGGTGCACACCCGTGATCACTGTGTTAGCAATTATGTTCTCAATCTGAATTGTTCCCTTTTCATTTTGAATTGTGTTCTGTTTTCATTCGCTTGTTGGGAATCGTAAGTGATGGGAAAATTGCTTTCCCCTTGCCACAGGGCTCTGTCTGTTCAAGTCAGTAGCAAGTATTTCAGAGCTCTGCCAGGGCAGGATTAGGCTGCCCGTCAGATGCTGTAAATTATCACAGCTGAATTGAAGTAAATAGCACTGGGCTTATTTACTTGAGGATCAACCTTTAACGTCTCTGTCAAGACTGGCAAATCCAGCACAGCAGTTTCAGGCCTTGAAAGGCCAGGGTAAGTGCTGCTCCCCTGGGCCTTGGCTGCAGCCAGGCCGAGCCTGGCAGCCTGGCACAAGCCGCTCTCCGCAGGAGGATACGGGCAGTGCCAGCTGGAGGCCGGGCTCAAACGCCCCTCGGGAAGCTACGGGGAGGACGTGGTGTGGTCAGCCTCTTGAGACCTCTACAGAAGCTGTTATTTTCCAAACCCGCTGACCACAGAAAGAATAGATCAGCAGCCTGTAGCCCTCCTCTTCCAACATGGTCCTCAGCTTCTCGTGATAGCCTGTGATGTTTGTTAGTAACAGGTGGGTGTCTGATTTCAAAACTCCTTGTGTTCAGCAACAATATGGATTTGGAAATGGGAATGCTCATTAAAGAAATGTGTCCATGTTCCCTGCTTGGGCTTAGATATGTTGCAGCATGATCTACCTGTTGCTCTGTAGGACAGGACTTTTGAGAGTCTTTGCTTTTGCTGTAACTGGCCTCAAATCCTCTTGCTCTGGAGCATTTGGCCACCATACGGAACTGCCACCTTCCAGCCACAGCCGAAAGAAACAAGAGAAAAGACACGTTGCTAGAAGCCAGCAGGGATGATCTGTCCTGCACTGATCACTGCTGCACTCTGCACCTTGCAGCCCTGCAGAAAGTTGCTGTGGCTTTCAGGATGCTGCCAGTCATGCCCCGAGGCCGGAGCAGCGCGTGCAGGTGGCCCCTGTCAGGCAGGCAGAGATCTGACAAGAGCATTTTGCATACAAACAAATTCCAGTGCGTGCCACACACTCTCTCTCCAACACTACAAACCGAGCACAGCTAGATCGCCTAAAGCCAAAGACACACTGTGAAACAAAACTATACCGGGCCTGCCACATAGCAAAATGTTCTGTTTTGGTTCTGAATAAGATGGTGTATTGCACCTTGACTTCACTGCTATATGTGTTAAACAACATAAAATAAATCTGTCACTGTAGTGCTTATCACAGAAGTCCTCATTTTCCCAAGGCAGTGCTCACTAGGGTTTTATAAACACCTCACCTTATACTTGCAACTCATGTTTCAAACACGTGCTTAGTATGAGCGCTTGCATTAACACACAGAATAAAAGACAATTGGTTTTAACATGACTGGCTCACCAAAAAACAGTGAAAATAAAGGATCTACCTCCAAGAGTATTTGCTCCAGATGGCCTGCAGCTGACTTATTGGAAAGGCCATTAGTTCTGTTGCTTCTGAAAGGTCTTCTGAGACCCACGACATTTCTTAGGACGGAGAATCCTGGGTTTTTTTGGTTTTTTTTTTTTTTTTGTGTGTGTGTGTGATTTACCATGTGGGCAATAGGAGTCATCCATCTTGGCTAACTGTTGTCGTCAGTCTCTTTTTGTGTGTGTTAAATTATGAGTGTCTTGGAAACCATGTGGCTAGAATTGTCTTTCTTTACTTAACAGCTTTGCCTTTGCCTACCAGGGTCCTCAGTATCCACCGAACATCATTTCTAATGAGCTGACCAATACCAGAGGCTAATGACTTAGATCGCAGAGTTATGTATTTATGGCTTATATCTTTGAGGATGAAACTATTGCCACAGATACTCAATTTCTAATTCTATTGTTGGCTTAGGATAAAAACAAGCTATGTTAAAATACTGCAGTTTGATTATGAGATAATTTTATAGTGGAATGTCTGTGGGTGGATGGGCAAACAACAATAAGGATGTAACAGCATGTAATTGTTTGATTTGATCTTCATACTGTGTTCCAAAAATACTGAATCAAGAGAAACCTTGCAGCAAAAACTTTCCTGTCTCCCTCCCACACTGCTGCTCTCTGCACTGGCCGGAGTACCCAAAGCTTTAAGATGTGGATGGTGACTTTCAGATATTCCACATGAGATCTACAAAAAAACATGTTAATTGAGAGATGACAAGGCTTTACATTCCTAAGGTG